AAAAACCATAAAAAAATAAAATAGAAACATGCATTAAAAATGTCCGAACCCCCCTCTATAAATTTTAACCCAAAACCATCAAGAGGGTGGGGGGGGAACCAAGCCCATCATCCCACCAGCCATCTCCACAGATGCGAGCCCCCATCCGGCCCCCAGGCCTTCTGGCAGGGCCAGGATTCAACCCCTTTTCTGAAGGCAATATCAAAAGCCTCGATATTCCCTGTGGCTCTCTATGGAAGCAAAAGTTGGACTTTGCAGAAGCAGGATAGGAAGAGCATTGATGCTTTTGAAGTTCGGTGTTGGAGAACGCTCCTGAGAATACCGTGGGCAGCCAAGAAAACAAACCAGTTGATCATCAAACAAAGCAGCCCAGAGTTCTCACTCGAAGCACAAATGAACAGGCTCAAATTATTCTACTCTGAGCACGTTATGTGAAGATTCAGCTCTCTGGAGAAGGCTGTAATGCTGGGAAAGGTGGAAGGAAAGAGAAGGAGGTGCCCAGCACCAAAGTGGACGGACTCGGCTACAGTGGCTAAGAGTGCACCCTTGGAAGACCTGAAAGACCTGGTTAGGGACAGATCCTCCTGCAGAAGTTCTACCAGTGGGATAGCTAAAAGTCAACACCAACTTGATGAAACATAATTAATTAACATGCCAACCTTTTAAACAGTATCTCTATCTATCATCTATCTATCATCTATCTATCTATCTATCTATCTATCTATCTATCTATCTATCTATCTATCTATCTATCTATCTATCATGGTAAGTTTTGGAAATAAGATTTGGGAACTCAACCATGGTTGCATTTAGCTTTATTTTGTTTTACACTGTTTTGAATTAAACTTCAGAAATGGACAACCATCTGCTGGGGAAGCTTTAATAAGCACTAAGTGGGGGGTAGAGAGGCCCCCTTTGGCTGAAGGGTTTCATGGATGTTGGGGAACTGATGAAATTATATTTTAAATAGCACCTTTTGCATCTTTTTAAAATGCCCCATTTTGCTGCAAAGTATGTGTGCATCTGTGTGTGTGTGTGTAGTTGAGTTTAAAATGAACATGTATTGGCCAGTGGCAGAGGTGTATCTCTGGGACAGCCTGATCTGGCCTGCACTGGGCACCTTCGGTCCCCAGGCAGCAGACCTTGCACCCCGCTTGCCAGATGATACGGAAGCCTCCTCCTGCCTTCGGGGACTTGTGCCCGCCATCCTGTTGGGCCGAGGGGCCGGGCACCTACTGATGCCCCCCACCTGCCTGTGACTGTATTTGCACAGACGCTGCTAGACCTGGGTGCCTCTACGGATTACAAGGACAGCCGTGGATTAACCCCTCTGTACCACAGTGCCATGGTAGGGGGAGACCCCTACTGCTGTGAGTTACTCTTGCACGACTACGCCAAGGTGGGTTGCATCGATGAAAACGGCTGGCAAGAAATCCACCAGGTGAGCTGTGCAGCAGGGCCCTTGGATGCTGGCGCTGGGTGCGGAGGCTTAGCAAGGGAAAGGAGGCGGCCCAGGTGAAAATGCTCTGGCCCTTTTGCTCCCGGCAGTTGTGCCCCTCTAAAAGTGGGTCTGTGGGGGAACCCGGGGCTGAAACCCCACCCCTGGCAAAGAAGAGGTGCAAGTGGGAAACCCTTTCTCCAGCCCTGTGGCCCCCGTTCCGGGCAAAGACTTCTGCGGCAAACCTCTGTTGTCTGCCCATGGAGTGGGGGAAGCTTTAAAGCAATTTTGGTATTCAGTTCCCCCACCTTCTCCTGCCTTGGAATTCTACTATGGAGTTATTGCAGACCCAAAAGATAAATACTTCTGAATTAGGAGGACTTTAGAGCCTGATCCATCAGGCCTTGGTGCGGCAGTCTGGCCGGCTCCAGAGAGCCACGTTGGAGGGTGGACACGTGGCATGTGAAGTCCACCCGCTCCGGAGAGCCCTGGTTAGGAAAGCCCCACTGTAGCGCAGAGGGTGGCGGGCCTGGAAATGGGCTGTGAATGCGAGACCCTTCTTTCCCCCTTCTGAGCAGGCCTGCCGCTACGGACACGTTCAGCATCTGGAGCACCTCCTTTTCTATGGGGCTGACATGACTGCACAGAATGCCTCTGGAAACACTGCCCTTCACGTCTGCGCACTCTACAACCAGGTGAAGCCCCACACGCACCCCTGCTGCTCCCCCCTCCTCAGCCTTGGGCCTTGCCCCACAGGAGCGCCAAGCATCATCCAGGCGGACCTCGGCAGCCAAGGGCGCCGGGTGCCAAGGGAGCCTGTGGGGGGAGGGCCCTTGGGGGGCCCAGCCTCCTAGGGTGCCTCTCCAGGGCCTGCTGGGCCCTTCTGAAGAGTCTTACCTGGCACTGAAAGAGGGTTTTCTTCCCCCCCCCAACAAAAATGGCATAGCTAACCTGGGTCTGGCAGGAATTCCAACACCCTGCCAACGGTCAGTGTGGCAAATGTAGGCTCAGGAGCCTCCTCCCTTTTCTTTCACGTTCCCTTTTTTCCTTCCCGGAATTAACTACCAAGTCCAGTCGAGTTTCAGCTGGTCTGAGGCAGGTGGACTTTGCGAAGGGGGTCGCGTGCCCAGTGGGGACAGGGTGGCCCAGTGGCACCCTTTTGGGTCCCTAGACCCTGGAGGGGTGCGGAGCCCCCCGGTGCCCCCTCCTTGCCCCAGCCCGAAGGAGGGCTCACGCTGTCCCTCTTTTCTCTGCCAGGAGAGCTGCGCCCGGGTTCTCCTCTTCCGGGGAGCCAGCAAGGAGATCCGGAACTACAACAGCCAGACGGCATTTCAGGTAGGGCGCAAAGCAGGCTCTGGGAACGGGACTCTGCTTCCCTCTGGGAGCCTCCTCTCTCTCATAGCCGGGGGTGCCGGGAGAGACTTCGCCGGCCGGAGAGGAAACGCTCCTGCCCAGTCCCTGTGCCAGGCCAGGACACCACAGAGCAGGCAGAGGCAAGAGCTGCACCAGCCAGGGGGTTCCCACCCCACTTGGAACGCAGCACTCCCTGGAAGCCCCATGTCCTCCTGTCCTACCCCCAGCTGGTCCAGGACCCTCAGCCGGTGCATCTTGGGGCTCCTTCCTTCATCTTGCCTTTCATTGGCGTGTTCTGCCCCCCTCCCCCCGCCTTTCCTCTGATGAAACGGGCTGCGGTCCAGGAACCCACTTGAGAGACCGCAAGACTCGCTGGGCTTTCACTGCAACACCCGCGTGGCCCTGGCAGCAGGCAGGTTTGCCAAAAGGCTCAGATTGACAAAGGCCCTGCACAGTCCTTTCCTTCTGAAGCACCTGTTGCATGGCAGGGATCGCACCAGCAGCAGCGCCCTTCCCGGCCAGGCCTGCTAGGAGGAGCCTGGCGTGGGCCTTAAGAGGACTCTCTCCATCTGCCAGGTTCAGGGCAGGGCCCAGTCCTAGAGGGGTGAACTCTGTGGGGCATCTGCAGCTGCCTTCCCTTTGGAGGGCCTCTGAGCATGTAAAGAGTGCCTCCTGCCCTCTGCTGCAGTCACAACCGGCAGACTAACTGACTGACCTCCAAATTAGTCCTAGAACTTTGTGCCAATGAACTTCACTCCCACTTGCAGAGAAAATGGTGCTGCCTATGGCTGCAGAGAGGATCCACTGGACTAAGCAGACACCTACAGTATTTCCTGTATCTAGAAAAAGACTTTGGCCCGGGGATCAGAAGCCCCACAATTTTTCAACCCCCTCAATATTTTATCCATGCATGGGTGCGCAGGTGTGAAGTACCAAGGAGCAGACAGGGTTGGACCTGCCTCTCCAGAAGCAGGATTTGATGCTGCAATAGACAGGGCCATCCACTCGCTCGCTGCCCCCCTGCTTTACACACACACACGGTCAGTGTGTATCAGAAGTAAAGCGCAGAGCACTCCATTAGAGCAGAATCCAGCTGGTTTATCAAACCGGGGAGTGAGGCGTGCCCCAGAAAAGCAACCAGGGCCGTTTGGGATCAGCAGTGCTCTGGTCCTGACCGAGCGCAGGCAGGACGGGGCATTTCCTGGGCCAGCGGCCTCTGGATCCTGTTGGGGGCTCTATCATGGCCCCTTGAAGCCCTGCTGCTGGCATGAAGACCCCCCCACACACACTTCTGGATTCATCCGTCTCTGGCAACGTGAGACAGGCCGCTTTGCGATTTTCCATTTGGAGAGCACCATTTCACGCTAGTCTGTATCCATTACATACTTCAAGTCAGGCTGCAACATCTTGGATCCGTCACGGTTCCAGTGCTCAGCCGTCACGATGATCAGCCGGGCTCCTGTCTCCTCCGCCCGAGGGACCGAGGGGCACCGGAGGGGAGGTGGAGCCTTTGGGGCCTGGGGAGAAGGCCAGGCTAGGAGGGAGGCACCCAAGCTGGCCCCAGTCGTTCCCACAGTTTCGGGAGCTGGAGAAAACCCTGCAGAAGAGAAGCGAGGCTGGGGCCAAATCGGCCCCCCAGCTGCCCCTTCCCACCTCCTGCTCTCGGCTCACCTTCTCCCCCATGGGGCCATCGCCCCGGCTGCGTTTGGCCGGGGATGACTGGGGCTATAGCTGACCCACCTGGGAGACGTGCACAGGTGCGCAGAACGCATCACCACCGCCCCGGCTGGATTGCCCAGCTTTCCCTCGCTTGTGTGGTGGGCGACTAATGCCCGACTCTGCATCTTTTGGGGCCCAGTTCCCAGCCTGAAGCGGCCTCGGGTCTCGGAGGAATCGCTGCTCTGATTCCTGCCAGCCCTTGGGGGGATCCGTGCTGCTGCTTTTCCTCTGAATAGAAATACATGGGCAAACGTAGGGTAAGGCGAGTCCTAATTTTTATTTGCTTATATTTCAAATTTAGTCTCTGCCCACCTCACTCAGACAGCGACTCTGGGCGGATTACCATAAAAATAAGAATAAAAACCAGTTAAAATACAACAAAAACAGTGTTCATAAATAATCTATTCCAAGGAATTGATGGCATATAATAGGGGATTGACCTACGGGAGCCTCTTCAGGGTGCCAATGTAGCCCTCCTCACGCCCCAGGCGAGCTGGCAGAGCCAGGCCTTCACCCCTAATATCCTTGGGAAACTAGCTGAATAGACAGGTGCACAGGTGTCTCCGCGCCCCCCCCCCGCCCGCCCCCCGCCCGTCTCTCCTCCCACCCCCGCGCGGGCCCCCCCGTCCGA